AAGCACATTTTTACAGCAAGCCCTCTACCATAATATTTAAAACCCGGGGTATTGCTTTTAAATTTTTGTATATTGAAGGGCTTACATCACACTCATTGTCGACATTTTAAAATTTCGATACAAATTGGGACTCATCTGACCAAATACGTAAATTTGAGATAGGAAATACAAAATTAAATACTAAAATCGAAATAAAATTTCCACGCTTTTAAATATGTTGGTGAAAGATTCAAGGTATGGGTCAGTTGACTCTTCGTATGTGTCAAATTTTTAACGTTAGGTGTGGGGAACCTAAGGGAAATTTATTAAAAAAGGTCTAGTGAACACTATGCGAGCATATTAAAGTCAAATCTGAAGATCAATGCCTTCGAAATGGACCTTGGCAACTTTATATCTCGTAAAGATAATAAGATTAAGCAATTGATAAAGTTAAAAAATAACATTATTGTAGGAAAAAACACTGACAAATTGAAATAAGCTGCTCAGAGCACAGCCCTAAATCCAATACATTAATTTTGGACCACAATTGATCAAAAAACTCTGATGAACTACTGAAAAGAGTGGATTTCTTTTGAAAACAATCATATGGGGGAAAGCAAGGGGAAGGGAAGGCGATTGCGAATAATAATGATAAAAAAACTACCAAAATGGCTCACGTAGATCCAAGCATTCAAATCAGAACCAAAATATATACAAAATTTTGATATACAAGAATTTAAATAATGATATATAAAATTTGCACTTTATTTTGACCGACAAAAAAGTGAGTTCACTTTAATTTTAGATGTTATAAAGATTTATATAATTTGCACTTTATTTTGACCGACAAAAAAGTGAGTTCACTTTAATTTTAGATGTTATAAAGAACAATTTTAAGTCCAATAATTTTGTTTTATTGTTTTTTTGTAGCATTATATATTAACTAAATGAATTTAAAAAAATTTCAATATTCAATAATCATTAAATAGATTTTTCGCTGAAAGAATATATTATGAGTACTTTTGCACTTTATTTTGTCCGATAGTGTATGTTATAACAAAATTTAATGGTGTTGACGTTATTTCAAGACCCTCTGTAATATATCGCTAATTTTGGTGCTTAAATGTAATCTACATCTGCATCTGCCGATTAAATAAATATAAACGCAAGAGAAATTTATAATACATATTGATGATATCATTGAATATAGATGCATATGTATTAGGGTGATCGATTATTCGACATTTACCAAAAACCGGGTTTCGAATAGTTCAAAAAAATCGGTTGATATTTTTCAAATTCAGGAAAAATTGGTTAACCGGTTTTTATTATAAATAATAAAATCCATTTTATTTTGAAAAAATAACGTTTATGTTTAAATTTGATGTCCCGAAGTGATTTTGAACAGTTTAAAATATTATAAATTTAGATTTAGATTCTTTAATGTAAAAAAAAAATTGGAAAAAAGTGGGACACTTCTGTTAAATATAAGCAACTATGTAATCCTAGCTAAAATCCCTGTTTCATAGGCATTCCAACACATCAATAATAGTTTAACCGCCAAGTAATTATTGTAATTGGAATATAATCTTAAGATTGATAAAATTTTATCAAATAGTTATTCCAATAAATTTTAAAAACAAAATTTGTTAATTAATTAGGAAAATCAAAAAAGTTTAACCAAAGGTACGTTAGAAAAATATACGCTAAATCCTGGACTGCAATATTTTTAAAATTTAGACGGGTTGTATTATTATTTACTTTAAAATTTCATTTAACTAATCTTTGAATACAAAGCAAATAAAAGTATTCGAAACCGGTCTTTAAAAAGTAAAAAAACCAGGTTATTCGATATTCGAAAAATTTGCACTTTAAAAAAACCGACACTGGTAAAGCAGAAAAACGGGTTTTCAACCGGCTTTAAAACCGGTATGTAGAAATATTGATGATTTCGACGTCTTATTTCAAGATCCTTGGTATTAATCATTTACATTTGAATTTTTACGTAAATTTTTTTTAATTTCATGAAATACCTACTTTTTAAAAAATAAATCAAAATTTTATAAATTACAGGCAGGGGGATTTGTATAGAATACGATTTTTTTTTGTAATTTGGTTATCTACCCTGCAAAAACTTCCAAAGAAGTAGAATTTACTCCATGGAAGTACTGAAAAAGAGCTGAAGAAGTGATGATTTTGACACAGGCTTGTCATAGGAGGGATGTCCTTTTTATTTGATTCCAAATTCACTACTGAAGTCTGAAGTCATTCTCAAGACGTAATTTTTATGCTCTTTTTTTGGAAGTTATTTGAAAGTGAAATTGCATTATTATAGAATACAATTAATTTGACCTAAATAATATTAACATTAATAAGGGTAATAGAAACATTAAATACAAAAGCCAAATATATAAAATTTTTATCTCATAAAAATGAAAGAACAAAAAATATATCTTCAACATTGAAAAAATAGAATTATTTTCGCTTCTTCGGAAGTCTTTAAAAATCACTTCTTCAGAAGGTAAAAAAATTAATTAGTGCTACTTCTGAAGTGGTGATAAATGTCATTCTTTTGGAAGTACATCGTTTTATTTTTGCTGGGTATGAGTCATTCCAAAATGTATCGACCAAAAAAGCTGTTTTAAAATTTTAACATCTTCGATTTTTTTAAACTCCTATACAAATTCATTAAAAATTTTAAATTTGGAGTTATTAGTTATAAGTAGAGGGTTAAGTATGTATATCCATGCTCACTTCTTATGTTAGTGCCAATTTTAGTATTCTTGAATACAATAAAAAGCAATAACTCATTAATAGGCAAACTTAATCAAGCCTTATAAGATCAACATGCTTTAAATAAGTAGTCGTAGTTATAATGAGAACACGCTTACTTTTTATATGAAAAATGTATGTATGTAAGTGAAAAAATGCCAGCCAATTTTTAAATTATTTTTAAAATGTATTAAAATTTATTCCATAACTAGCTATACCCAGTGTGCTTTGCTACCCTAAAAGCAATATAAATAAAAAAAACCCACTTAACAATTTTGAAGATTCTAACTATAATAGTTCTTTTATATAGACATATGTATAATGAGATGCCATTCAAATTATTCCAAGTTCGCCAATTTTCCAAACGTTAACTAAGATTTAAATGTAACCCATGAAAAATGTGAATAATCTAATAGTTCCCCAGATATACGAAATTTTGTATTTAATACATATGGGAGGTGCCAATCCCCATTGAAAGTCCGCCCATTTTTCTCTAAATGTTCACATGAATGTCAAAGTTCTTCATATAAAATTTGAAGATTCTAGCTCTAATAGTTTCTCAGATATACAAAATTTTCTATTTAATTCATATAGGGGTGCCAAGCTCCACTTGATTAAAGTCCTTTATTCTCCAAAATGTTTAGATGAATATTAAAGTTCTTCATGAAAAAATTTAAGAATCTTGTTCTATTAATTTCCCTAATAAAAGAATTTTGTATTTAATTCATATGGGAGGTGCCGCTCTGCCCATTGGCAGTCCGCCAATTTATTACCCAAAATGTTTACATGGATGTTAAAGTTCTTCATGCTAAATTTGAAGATTCTAACTCTAATAGTTTCCCAGATATGCGATTTTTTTGTATTTAATTCATATGGGAGGTGCCACGTCCCCTACTTTTGTCCTTAAATAATAATATTGACACTATAGTGGATCAGACAAAATTTGAGAACTCTATCTGTTATATTTTCTCAGATATACTGAGGTGCCAAGCCCTTTATAGGCATTCCGCCCATTTTGTCCAAAAATATTTTTATGGATGTCAAATTTGAGGACTCCAACTCTTGCAGTTTCTGTGATATGCGACTTCTAATACTAATTTTTAATGTGGGCGTGGCACGTCGCCCACTTGAAATTTTGAAGTAAAAAGTAGCCTATAGTTCCTTGCAGACATACAGGAAGACACCGTGAAAATTTCAGAAAAATCGGTCCAGCGGTTTAGCTGTCTATAAAGTCCAAGCAAACATACAAACACACATTAATTTTTATATAAATAGATGGAGTACCACACCCCCTATTGTTAGTCCTCCAATTTTTCCACCAAATAATCATATGGATGTCAAAATTGTCCATAAAAAATTTGAGGACTAGTCATTTATCATTTGAGGGTCATAGACGACTGAGAAGAACGGAAACATTGGATTTTGCCAGTAATCAAATTATCGAGAACTTTGGTTGAAATTGCAGCGGCAATAACAACGTTAGTTATAGTTTAGGTTAAGATTTTATTACTTATTGTAAATTTCTATATAAGATAGATTCAATAAAGAATAAAATGAAAAAAGTTTATATACACTAGGTTGGAGGTAGGGTAAAAAGCAAAAGTTTCTGTGAAATTATTTTCTATATGGTTATTGTATTATTAGGGCAAAATTTTTCACTTTCGCACAAGGAAAAAAGTTGACGTGAATACCTTTTATGTTAATTTTTTTATATGAAGTTTGGCAGTGTTGTGACTCAAACCTATAAACCAGTTGCTCCCATAAATGTGCTTTACTATTATTGAGAAATTAATCGTGACTAGATCAACATTTTTTGGAAAATAAACCAATAAACTAGAGTAAAACCTATAAAAACCAATCAGAGTAAAATTTTGTATTTTCTCAATTTTGCACAACAAAAAACGTAAACGTGAATACTTTTATTATATTTATTTATATTTTTTAAGCACTCCACACTACAAGACAAATTTGATCAAAATTAATTTTAAAATTTGGACAAAAAGCCCATACGACAACTTTATAGAGTTACTGATGATTAATTTTAATCGGAAAATGTCTATCATAGTATTTGCATGATCCGTTTACTGTGTAAATTAATTTGATAAATGTTTTACAAATTTTAAGCTTGATTTGTTAGGATTTAGCTTATTTTAAGTAATGTTCCATATATGGAAATATTTAAGAGCGAAATTAAAAATATTTTTTGAAATAAAATAAAATAATAGAAAATATTGGTTTATATTTTTTAGCAATTCAGTTCGTGTTAAGTGATGAATTTACACATTTGAGACCTGAACAACGTCAGGGACTTTTACACGAAGGAACTGGTGCAAGAGTAATATCAGCTTATGTGGAAATTATATTTGACAACTCCGACAACAGAGTACCGGTAAGAAATTTTCAAATTAAAAAAATATCTATTTTCAACATTACTATGAGTAGGATTTATAGTTTCTAATATCCCGTTTTTTTAATTTTTGGGAAATTTATAAAATTTTACATAATAACCTGGAACATTTTTAAAGAAATATTGTATTATCTTTTTACATTTCTGTATCGAAATTAAATTTTATTTAAAGCTTTACTTATAATTAAATACAAAATTAAAATGTTTTTTTTTTTAATAATTCGTCCGTTCTCCTACTCGTTTGGGTAGCAAATTTTTACAACAAATCGTTCCCGTACTAAAATTTCAATGTATTTTATTGTTTTTATATCCACTATCAAAAAAGATGGTTCCGTTTGTAACAAATCAAAATATTGGTCATAGACCCACAAAAGTATATATATTCTGGGTCCTGGGATCTAAGACGATCAAGCCATGTCCGTCCGTCTGTCTGTTGAAATCACAAAAGGGTCCACAAAGAGGAGCTAGACAGTTGAAATTTTGCACAAATATTCTCTATTGATAAGGTTTGTTTTGTATTGAAAATGGGCAATATCGGCCCATGCGATGACATTCGGCATAAACAAGATTTATAAGAACCTAAATCTTTCTACGAAATTTTGTAAGGATCGGTTCATAATAGACCCTACCTCCATAAAATATTCCCTTCAGAAAATTACTTAAATTAAACATAAACAAGTTTTGTAAGAACCAAAGTCTCTGTATAAAATTTGATGAATCGGTCTGTAATTGGCACTAACCCATTAATGGTTCCCTTCAGAAAAATACTTTAAAACTTATGACGTTTAAAGTTTAAAGCTCGGTTCATAACAATACTTCATAAACATTTTAAGAATTTGTTCTGATTTACATACTTCTAGAATGTGTTCATAAACTTTACTTCTACAACCAATTTTGAGGAACATTGTTCTGTTTTTTAAGAATTCTAATAAGTTCTTCAGCAATAGTTATACACTAATTTAGTGGAACATTTGAATTCTGGAAATCGTTGAAAAATCTCAAAAACATAAAATTAACTAACTTCTTTATATAGAAAAGGATTTCACATGAAAAGAAATAGTTTCGAATATTTGAGAAAAACAAGTAAGAGTGCAATATTCGGCTGTGCCGAATCTTATATACCCTTCACCATAGTGTATTTAAAAATATCAATTTTATAAAATTTAAATTTATTTTCCCGAGTATATCATTATTATAGCAATGGCAAAACAAAATGAACAACAACAACGCTAAACGAAATAAAAACACAAAAAACCAAATACACAGTAAAATCAACAGACATCTAAACATACGAAACGAAATACACAAAAAACAAAAACAAACCAACAGACATCCAAACATACGAAACTGAATACACCAAAAAAACAAAAACAATATACACAAGGCCAGGGCACACTTTGAAAGGTGACTGCATCACTACAAGAAATACAACAATACAAAAACAACATATGTATATTTTGTTTTTGTTCTAGAATCAGAGTATTGTCAAAATCAGCTGATATAAAACTTAAAAATGTTTTTGTTTTTATACCCACCATCAAAAAAGATGGGACGTATATTGATTTTGTCATTCCGTTTGTAACACATAGAAATATTGGTCATAGACCCACAAAAGTATGTATATTCTGGGTCCTCATTAAATTCTAAGACGATCTAGCCATGTCTGTCCGTCTGTCCGTCCGTCCGTCTGTCTGTCTGTTGAAAGCACGATAGAGTCCGAATGGAAAGAGCTAGAGGATTGAAATTTTACATAAATATTTCTTATAGGTAAGGTTTGTTTGGTATTGAAAATGGGCAATATCGGTCCACGTTTTCGGATAGCCCCCATACAAGTGGCCCCTCGAAAAGCAGCTTTAACAGCCATAACATGTTTAAAAATACGAATATAGCGATGAAATTCGATATAAGTAAGTTTCTTATGATCCAAAATCAATATGCGAAATTTTATGAGGATCGGTCCATAATTGACCCTACTCCCCATATAAGGTCCCCTTCAGAAAATGACTTTAACGCTCATTACTGGCTTAAAAATACTAGTATATAGATGAAATTCGACATAAGTAAGTTTCATACGAGTCAAAATCTATCTAAAAAATGTTATGAGGATCGGTCCATGATTGACCCTACCCCGCATATAAGGTCCCCTTCAGAAAATGACTGCAACGCTCATTAATGGTTTAAAAATACGAGTGTAGCGATGAAATTCGACACAAATAAATTTAATACGAACCAAATTCTATCTACCAAATTTTATGAGGATCGACCCATAATTGACCCTACCCCCCTATACATGGTCCCCTTCAGAAAATTACTTTAACGCTTATAACTGGCCTAAATATACGAGTATATAGATGAAATTCGACATAAGTAAGTTTCATTCGAGTCAAACGAGGTTTGATGGTGGGGTGGGACTGCACTGTTTGTCGTATGTCTACTCGTGTACTACAAGAGAAATCTTCCTCACATATTGCTAAAAAGCCACCAAAAATAAAGGCAAACGATCATAGTACAAAACAATCCTGCTACAAGCGATGCGAAGCTTTGCGCTACAAACTTTTGCTTGTGTTTTCTCGCATCAAGCTTCGCTTTCACTCTGACTTGATACATAGGAAAACACAAGGAAAGGTTTATAGCGCAAAGCTTCGCATTGCTTGTAGCTCCCACTCTACAGTCAACCTAAGCCTTACCAGTTTAAAAGTGTGAAAAAAGATGTGGTATATTTATCACAACTAGTAACCCGAAGAGCTTCAAATTCGTATGTAAAACCTATCCATTTTACATTAGCGTCTCATTGGAGGGATCAGGGCACACTCTAAGTTGTTTATTTTTGACAATTTCGAACTACATCTAATCTGATTTTTAGAAGCAAATAAAATCTGATATTTGGATGTTAAAAATAAACAACATTCTTTTAATGACACGATTATGTAAATTTCATTGAGTTTTAATCAAAATTTTATGTACTTCGAATATATTATTTGAAGTGACATTTCTTCATTTCTTTCCTAATTTTAAACTAGGTTTTCATTTGTAAGGAAATATTTGGTTTATTTAATTTGTCATTTTAGATGTGATTAAGATGTCGTTTGTAAAGTATTGCATCAATTATTTTTTGTTGGGTTAGTGATACCGCTGATTTTTTTGAATAATCGGACCTCTTTTGACTTAGTCCCCATATAATCCTCTTATCCGAAAATGACTTAAAATGCCATAAGACTATTTCGAGAAAAACATTTTTAAATTTGAATTTATGTGTAGAAATTAAAAATGTTCTTTTTATACCCTTCACCTTCGTGAGAAGGGTATACAGTGTCTCACATAAATATTCGAATTTATTATTTTTTATGAATTACTGTGTTATTTTATGATGCTACTTTAAAAATAATAATGGTATTAAAAATGTTTTAATGAAATTTTATTAATTTATATTATTTTTACAAAATACAAGAAAAAAGTAATAAAAACTCATTAATGGTTTCCAAGAAAATGGAAAAAAACCCAAGAAGGGTCATTTCAGGTACTGCGCAAATTTTGGAAATTTGCATAATTATGTTGTAAACCTTCCTGTGTAAGCGCTTAAAATGTTCAAAGAAAAAGAGTTGATCAATTCAAATTAAAAAATTAATTTATATCTGTATAATCAAGGCCGATCAATTAAATACATATAGGAAATGTTTGATAGATTCCCATCGACAATATATTTTGCCATTACACGCATGGAACAAAGAATTCCATCGAGTATTTGCCATTATCTCAGACGTCCAAAACTGCTGTCAATACAGAACGACAGAGAAATACTGATATTGTTTTTGTTTCTTGATGCATTCAGTTTCGTATGTTTGGATGCTGTTGGTTTTACTGCCTTGTGTATTTTGTTTTTTGTGTGGTTATTTCGTTTAGCGCTGTTGTTGTTCATTTTGTTTTGCTATTGCCTATAATAATGATATAGTCGGGAAAATGATATACAGTGAATCAATTAAGTAATTTGCCTATGTAAAATTTTATAAATTTTAAGAAAAAACTTAATCTGATCAATTATTTTAAGCAAAATTAAGTAATTTGTTTGTTGTATTTTTTAAAGAATATCTTATATTTTAATTTTCTACCATAAAAAGTAAAATGGTGATAATAATTAAGGAGATTTTTGATAAAATGTGAACGTATTGTTAATTTTTTAGGTCAATAAAGTATTTTGCTATTTTAGGTTTTTTGTTCATTTTTTTAATATTGCTGTATTATTTTATAAAATTTAACATTTTTATTACTCATATATATTAAAATAACAATTTTTAGATATTTTAGTAGTGGTACGACTAAATTTGGACATTTCTTAACCGATTGATTATCCAATATATCTATAAGAATTTATCAATATTTGACTTAACAGGAAATCTATCGTTTCTTTGATTTTATATACTACTAGAAAATTAATGGATTTAGACCTAGAAAAAACGTTTAGTGGGGTTTAAAACTATATATTATAACAAACTAATATGGGTTTTTGGTCTTTTTATATTGATAAACAAAAACTACATTACGGAAACCCCATCTATTTGGGGAGTACTGTGTGAATTTTATTTAGAATTGCATAATATTGATTCTTATTCAATAAAGCTAACATTAAGTACCATCCTAGCCACTCAATGGGTCATTGCCGTATACCACTATGCAACTGATTTGATTTTTGATTGATTTTCTACCTCATATTTTGAATGCTTTATTTTATGAATAAAATACAGTAGACGTATTTAGATCTGGATAGTTATTCTTGATTTGAGTTCTAAATATATATAAGTGTATGTATTAGCTGAAAAATATTGCTTTTGTGGACCTTAGGTGATGATAGCCACCTCCATCTAAATTAGGTATTTTTCTTGTACCACACGATAGTTCACTTTATATTGTTTCCAAGCAACCTAAGATCTATTTGGAGGTCTAAATTTAAACATAGTGTCCTTCATAGTTCATACATGGACTTTGGAGAAGATAAATCAAGAGTTCAATGGTTTTCCTTGGATACTAGCCGCTCCCCTTTCGTAGTTAAAGATTTTGAAAGACCACTCAGTGCTTCTTTTCTAATAATTCTTTTGGTCATTTCATCAATTACTCTATTTTATATTTTTTAATGGTATTGATTAAACATCTCATATTTGTATTTCATTGATTTACACTTGTTCTCATTATTTTCCTTTAAACATTTTTAACGCAAATAACTTCTCAGTTTCACACTTCTCAGTTCAACAATAAATCAATAAATTCCAAAAAGTAATTAAAAAATAATTTGAAAAACCCAACAAAATTAACTGGAATTCTAAAAATGCAAAATACTTTATTGACGTGCAAATTCTGATGACAAATAATAAAATGCCAGAACAAATGCACCAAAATTTATTGTTTAATATTTTTTCACGGTTTTTCCATTTTACACAATCTCTACTTTTAACTGGAAAACATAAATTTGCTTTTTACCTGTTTTTTCGATTTTTATTTATGAACAAAAAACAAAATTCTCTTAAAAAAAGGTAGGCAAAAAACTTAGTTGATTCACTGTAAATATAAATTTTATGAAATTGATATTTATTAAATACACTATGGTGAAGGGTATATAAAATTCGGCACAGCCGAATATAGCACTCTTACTTGTTATTTTATTAAATGATTTTTTTTTAATAAAGGCAACATTAAATTCTGTTGAAAATTATACAATATTGTTAATGTATTATTTATTTTAAGGGCCATTATTACAAATTGCCTTTAATGTTCGTAATAATAAAAGGTAACTTTAATTAACCCATTTACGGTCGCTGTGCCAATTTGGGAACACTTAATTTTTAAGGCTGTATTAAAAAAAGGTTAACTCTGGTTTATTTATTTTTGCATTATTGAGTAGAGGAAAGTGCTCAGAATAAATATTAAATCAAACAATTTAACTAAATTCATTGTTATTGTTGTAATAATCTATTAAACTTCAGTGGCCAAAAATATACTAAAAACATGTTATAAAATAAATTTGTTATAATTTTTTAAACAAAGTATGCCAGTTATTAATTTGAAACAAACGGTCTAAAAATAATCTGATAACATAGTAATGCCCGTGTCTTCCATTTCACTCTGTTTCAAGTTTCTGTGACGGCTCTAAGCCGTTAAAAAACGCGAGCTACATAAAAACGGAAATTCCCTCTAATGTCCTAATTATTAATATTTTTTAGCATTTTTTTACGTTTCTGCTTTTTTGCATTGTTGAAAATAAATATAGCTTGAAGTTTCAAAAATATAACTTGTACTTTTTGATTGGCTGTAAATGGGTTAAAGTGAGGAATAAAGTGTACTTTAAATATTTTCATTATTACAACATAATTATTTAATATACAAAAACCGTAGCATACTTTTAGTCATTAATAATATTTTTCATATGAAAAATGAATTTTTTTTTATATTTTTAAAAAAATTATTAAAGCTTACGTTAAAAGTTAATGGTAACGTGATCTTCCCGTTAACCTATCGGACACTTTTAGCTAAAGTTGACTTGTAATAACGAAAAACACATCTGTACGATAACTTCCTAACTTTAGTTATTGGCAAGTTATAATAATGGGCCTAAATATCATTAAATGGAAATGGTTTAATGTTAAACAAATGATTTAACAATACAAATTCAAATACCTGTAAAGAAAATAATGTATGTATGTGGGAATAATTAATATTTAATCTAGTTAATCAGTTTTAAAAAAGAATTTCAGAACATTTCAGTACTGAATTAAATTGATTGTTCATAATGAAATTGAGTTGATGGACAGTTTAATATATCGGTGTATCATGGGGTACTTGACCACAAACTGGAAATACAAAGGTATTATGCTATGTATTATGCAAAATAATGTTCAGAAAATGTCTAACAACCCTGTCAACTTACTATTTATGTTTTACAACATTGTAAGTTCACACGATTGTTAGACATTTTCCGAACATTTTTCTGACAACGTTTTAAGACCTGACAACACCCTGTATCATATCTTTTAGGCAAGAAGAAGAAGGACAAGGAGATCGCATTTGGTGCCATCGGGAGATTTGAGTTCAGTTGATAAGTTGGATTCGAAATGTTTTAGAGCTATATTGTCTTCTTCGCCATCACTGTTTGTACTCGTTTTGTCATTTCATATTGTTCCCCATATGTTGTAGGCCATATTGGTAATGTGAAACATAGATTCCCGATTTAAGTAACTAGTTCTTTCTTGAGAGCATATTTTTCGCGTTCTCCCTGTTGAAGTATACGTCCATGTAAGAATGTAAATTGATTAACAATATTTGTAACTTACCTGTAAACCTTCCAGAGTTTCTTCTATTTGCTTTTCAGCAATCTATTTTAGATTTGTTAATTTGTCAACTTGTTGATTTAATAATTCCTATTCTTCGGAATTGGAATATTGGAATGTTTATACCTCACACTCAACCTAAAATTTTAAAAGTAAATTGTTAAATTCTAAAGGAAAAAAGTTTGAATTTCATTCGTTACCCACCTGTGTGAACTTCTTAAACTTGAGACATGTTTTTATCTTCCAACTCTGAATATTACGTATTTAAGCACATGTTCCAATTCGAGATGCAACTGTTTAACTTCATTCTCTAAATTGTGTATTTGTAAATTAGGTGAAGTTTCTCTTTAGGGCAAACTTGAGGGCATTTGTTGTTGTCGTAAAAGTTTGACTGTGGCCGATAGTTCTTTCCTGAGGAAGATACAGCTGTCACTGGGTGTTGAGGGGAACACATGGGATGAAGATACTATAATGAAATAAAAAACATAACATCAAATTAATAAACAAAATAATTTTGTTTTTTAACTATATTTTTTGGTTTTTAATGCATCTTAGGCCCATTATTACAACTGGGCAATAACTAAAGGTATGATTTTATAATGCAAATAACTCGTTTCTAGTTATTATAATTGTATTTTAGTACGGATTTTATAGGGATAAGTAATTAATGAATAATACTTACATTTATAAAACAATTTTTTTCATTTTTTGGATGCTATTGCTTTTGTTTTCTTCTCAAATTTGAGGCGATTATTTAAAAATCGTATACGAAAAAATATTCTACATTTGAAATAGAATTGTTTTCCATGATCCGGCAGGTCTATCGACAAGCTTTGCTCCACCAGATGCTGGCGAAGATTTACCAAGTTGGATATTTCGGTACCATTGATTCGGTAGAATACCTTTTCTAACTGCTCCACTTTTTCCAATAAATAGGTGGATGGTTTTTTTAAAGAACCCTTTGAAACTTCGTCGACCCAAGTGAATGTTTTTTCATGACATTGGTATTCCTCAAGATTCAGCTTTCGAATCATATAACCGGATATATATTCAAGAGCGTCCTCTTGAAGAATACCAATGTCTTCTAAATCTTCGCCGTCAAGGTCTTCCATCTGTGACGGGGTTGGTACCGAAGTTTCGAAATCATCAGTGAGGACTTCTTCCGATTCAAAGAAAACTTCTGACAAACTTTCCAAGCGATTAAAATTGTTACTCGTGGAGTTGAGCCATTCCGTTTCGTCATTTTCCACATTCCCTCTGCCACTTAACTATTCGGTATTTCGGGCTAAATGTTTAATGGTATAAAGGGTTATATAGTATTAAATGTAATATCAAACTTACCTAATATATACTTCCTTAGCCTATACTTAAAATCTTGCGGAGAAGGATGATCGTTCAATCCACCCTTGCTTCGAATCACTCCAAAAAAGTGTTCCAGAATGTCTTGGTTTAGTCTGTTCGTTAAAATATACGTCATGCCAAACTTTTTTAAATATTCATGGAGCATTACTAAGGCAGAATTAGTGATAAGAATGCCTTTTTGGAAGAGTTCAAGGCTTTTTTTCCTGGCACGATTGGAACAGACATAATTTGATTCATTTTATGTAACTTTTCCCTCTGATTTTCCAAATCATTCCCGTATGTTTCCTATAGGTATTTACGTTTAATATTATCTAAAAACTTAAAAGAAATCACTTACTTTGCCAGGGAGTCCAGACGTATTCATCGACGAATTAAAGACGTCAAACCAATCATTAACTGTCTGAATAAATTCAGCAGTCTCAATTGTTTTATAAATATCTAATCCGTGCGCATAGCAACGCCGGATTGCACTTGCAGTTGTATGCGAAAATAACTGAGCAGCCAGTTTTACCTTTTGGCTACCTGTAAGTTAATTGTTTATTTCCCAATAAGCAATCAAAAAATTAAAATTCAAGTGCTTGTGTTTTAATTGAAATTCAACTTAAATTCCAGCTTATTTTTCAAATATTTTCAAGTAAAAAATGTTGAAAAATATTTAAAGTTTTATTCAAACTTAATTTTTATTGTCAAAAAAATTATTAATTTTGTGATTTTCCAAGATTTAAACCGTGAAAGCAAAAAACAATTAATAAAATAAAGTAAAAAATATAGATTAAAAAATACACCGTCGAAAGTTTCAATCAAAAATTATAGTAAGAACAAATAAATTAAATGCAGAAAAAATTGTTAATTTTTGCTAAACGCTCGCAAGGCAACGACTCGATTCAAAATTAGCAAGTTAATCAAAATGTAAGTAATCTACCTCAAAATGAAACGCTTTTTCAAAACAACACCATCAACGAAGTAATGAATTGAAAATTAATTTAGCTAAAACTTCATATGCAATAAAAGAAGATTTTATTAAGTTTGAGGCAAAAATTCAAGATTCAGAAGAAAATTTTGAGAAACTAGTATACCAGAATCAGTAGAAGATGATGTTACTAAACAGTTTTGTTGGCAAGGTTCCAAAGATAAATCGAGATAAAAAAAATTTTCAACTATGTTAGCAGTTAAAGGTACCTATTTATTTAAATTTGATATTTTGGATGTGGGATTTTCGACTACATTTACAAATATTTCAGTTGCTTACCGCCAAAAATTTGCCGATCACAGCGAATCACAATTTGAAAAAGTAGTTATAACGTTTTTCCAGCAAGCAAAAAATCGACACGGCAAAAAACAAAGAAATCATTTTAAATTGTTGCAATATATTCTAAATGTTTCTAAACTTTACTTTAAATTTTTACTTATAATTAATATTTGCAAACAATTAAAAGACTTGTTTACATACATATACACATGTATGTATATCATTGCATTATTTTAAGTAAATTTATTAAAAATTTTAATATTTAAATTTACATATTTTTTTTAGTAATACTTTGTTGTTAACATAATTTTGTGTTACATAAATATATGAAATAATTTAAATATTAAAAAATCAAGTTAATTTTATTTAGCAGTGCTTGAAATTTAATTATAATTCAATTTTAATTCCAGTTTTATTTTCAAGTAAAGTCAAATAATGTTTTCAAACCAAATTTTCTTGTCAAACTTGAAAATAAATTAAAAATATTAATAATAAAAATGTTCATATTTTTACTTCAATAATAATAAATTAAAAATATTAATAATAAAAATGTTCATATTTTTACTTCAATGCAACAAAATAGAACAGCAAATGTTGGTGTCAGAATTTATAAAAATCAATGAATCCAATTGCAATAAAAGGCATGTATGCAGATTAAACCAACCCAAAACGGGATTAATGTAGAAAATGTTCTTTGATATAGGCACGAATGTATATAGAATAATGCAAACATTTCTGGTTGATGCGTTCTTTCAAGATCTTTGCTGATTTATTTGCAATGTTAAAGAAACAGAGTGATCCTGTAAATTATGTTTTATACAAGTTTTTGCCATGTAAAATGTATAAATATGTATGTAATTTTGTCCTCATTCATTTCTTATTTATTATTAATAAATGTCTTAATTATGTCTGTTAAATTTTAAGATATGTGGCAGTATGTTACACCTACAGCTAATACATATGTACATAAATATATATATATATATATATATGTATATTATAGGTGCTTGAATGTAATTATTTTTTCGATAGGAATTACATTAAAATTCAAGGTTTGAATTAAACTGTATTTCAAAGATTGAATTTAAGCATTTTTTCTATTCGAGTTGTAATGTTATACAAGCCTTGAATTAAACTGTAGTAACATTATAATGTTCGACTTGAATTCAAGTTTCCTTTTCACTGGAGAATGCTATTGAATTAAAGTGTAATGCAAGTGTATTTCAACACTTCAAATTTGAATGTTTGACTGGAATTAAATTTGATTTACACTTGAATTCCAGCAAAAATGCTTATTGGGATTTAATTACCGGTTATTATTTAGATGACAAGTTGTTTTAATATCAAAATCCCTTGTACAGAGGCGAACACAAGAATCAACTGATCCTTTGTCCATAATTAATAAGTGGTGTGTGGTGTGTTTTACTTGTTCCTTGTGCTTTAAAATACTTACCCAATAAGCATTTTTGCTGGAATTAAAGTGTAAATCAAATTTAATTCCAGTCAAACATTCAATTTTCAAGGGTTGAAATACACTTGCATTACACTTTAATTCAATAGCATTCTCCAATGAAAAGGAAACTTGAATTCAAGTCGAACATTCTAGTATTATTACACTTTAATTCAAGGCCTGAATTAAATTATAATTCAAATAGAAAAAATGCTTGAATTCCATCTTTGAAATACAGCTTAATTCAAACCTTTGAAGTATAAGGTAATTCAAGTAAAAAAAAACAGTGCTATTCAAGCATTTTTAATGCCACTCTACTAAACTCCTAAATAAAATTAACTTGATTTTTTAATATTTAAATTATTTCATATATTTATGTAACACAAAATTATGTTAACAACAAAATATTACTAAAAAAAAATATGTAAATTTAAATATTAAAATTTTTAGTAAATTTACTTAAAATAATGCAATGATATACATACATACATGTGTATATGTATGTAAACAAGCCTTTTAATTGTTTGCAAATATTAATTATAAGTAAAAATGTAAAGTAAAGTTTAGAAACATTTAGAATATATTACAACAAATTAAAATGATTTCTTTGTTTTTTGCCGTGTCGATTTTTTGCTTGCTGGAAAAACGTTATAACTACTTTTTCAAATTGTGATTCGCTGTGATCGGCAAATTTTTGG